TGTGTGTGTGTGTGTGTGTGTGTGTGTGTGTGTGTGTGAGACAGAGGAACTCAGCCCATGACCTGTGGACTAACAGCAGCTGATTCTGTCTGGATTTATGTTTTGAGTTCACAAACTACTCTGGTAAATTTTTTTAAAAGTTGAGGACATTACATTAGCTGCGCTGCTGATCAGCGCTGTTTATAGAACATCAACAGACTCACGGGAACCTGGTCACACGCGAGGTCTGTGTTGGTGACTCTTGCTGTAATATATAAAAGTTATTGATAAGGTAACCATGATGTGGCTTCACCTGTCGCATTTTCTTTTAAAGAAAGAAAAAGTAACTTGCAAAGCTGTCGCATCGGTGCTACATGATTACAAAAAGCAGAGTTTTCATTGTGCGTCTAATCTCACACACACGTGTTTTTCTGTCTTTGTGAGGACCACAAACAGCACTCAGCCTCGCTCTGCACCGTGTTTTTTCCCCAAGTTTGGCAAGAGGTGGATATGGAGGGACGCAAAAATAGCTCTCGACTTGATCTGGCTCTATTTAAATAAAAATGACTACATGCCGTGAAATTCTTGGAGAGGTGGGCCGTCTCGTTGACGGGGGTGGCTTGAATAATGCTAGGGGAAACGCTAGTGTGTAATTTGTGGGAAAATGTCAACTGTTCTGCAGGTTGATATCACCACAAGAAGAATTGAGGACAGCATGTTTTTTGTTTATATCACACCGAACAAATTACAATCAGGTATTTCACTGTAGTTCTGAGCCGAGCCATGCAACTGAATAAGAGACTTCATGATTCTAAAATATAAAATCACACACCGCGGCAGAAACGTGTGGCGCTGCGACTCATTTCTTTACATCAACAATTAAATAAATATTTTCCAAGTTCTACCCAACTCACAAGTTCCCCTGTGTTTACAGACATTTATTGAAGATAGTTTCCTGTTCTCCGTGCTTTTGTTTCCCGTCACAAATCAAATCCGTCATGTACCCAGAATGCATCGCTTCAGTTTTCCAATAAACAATTTTAAAATTACTTTATTGATGCTTCTTTAATGAAAAATCTACAACAAACAAAAGAAAAAGACGAATCAGCCGAACTAGCAATCCTCAACAACTTTTTAATTTTTACACCAGGAGCTAAAGGTCTGTT